TTAGATGAGACACCCCTGAATGTAATGGAAGAGGATGCAGTTAGACAAAATGAGGTAAGTGAGGATGTAGTTAGACAGAATGAGGTAAGTGAGGATGCAGTTAGACAAAATGAGGTAAGTGAGGATGCAGTTAGACAAAATGAGGTAAGTGAGGATGCAGTTAGACAAAATGAGGTAAGTGAGGATGCAGTTAGACAAAATGAGGTAAGTGAGGATGCAGTTAGACAAAATGAGGTAAGTGAGGATGCAGTTAGACAAAATGAGGTAAGTGAGGATGCTGTTGGACAGAAGGAGGCAAGTGAAGATGTTGTTATACAGAAGGAGGCAAGTGAAGATGTTGTTGGACAGAAGGAGGCAAGTGAAGATGTTGTTATACAGAATGAGGCAAGTGAAGATGATGTTGGACAGAAGAAGGCAAGTGAAAATGCTGTTGGACAGAATGATGATGATAGTTCTGATGATGATAACTCTGATGATAGTAGCTTCAAGTATGATAGTGCAAAGGAGGTTGTATTTGATGATGAAACTGATGAGTGTGATACTGACTTGGAAGAGGAAGAAGGTAAGGATGATGTAACTGATGAGTGTGAAACTGAAGCAAATAAAGAAGATAGTAAAGGAAGTGATAATGAATGTAAGGATCTTGTAAGTGAATGTGATAGTGAAGATAGCAATACTACCAAGAGAAATAAGTATCCCATTTTCAAGCTTCTAAAGGATATGTCCAATTACAAATGGGAAGTGGGTACATATTTTAGTACAAAAGAAGATATCAAGGAAGCAGTTACCTCTTATGCAGTCCAATCTGGCAGAAATTTAAAGTACATCAAAAATGACAAGATAAGGGTTAGAGTTAGGTGTAAGGATGGATGTGAATGGGAAGGTTATTAGGCTAAGTTGTATGTTGAGGATACTTGGCAACTAAGAAAGGTGGTAGACACCCATAGTTGCAGTAGAGAATATAATGTGAAGTTGTTGAAGACTAAATGGCTTAGCAAGAGGTTGCAGAATGCACTTAAAACCAACCCTAGAATGAAGCTTAAGGACATTAAGGAAAAGGTGCAGAAGAAGTGGAATGTGGGGGTCAACAAAACCAAGGCTATAAGGGCTAGGTTTGCAGCAAGAGACATGGTTGATGGGTCATTCTTAGGGGATTATACAAGGATTTATGACTATGCACATGAGTTGTTAAGATCTAACCCAGGGTCAACTGTGAAAGTACATGTCCAACCAGCTCAAGAAGGTAGTGGTGTTCAGAAATTACACTTCAAAAGGATTTACATATGCTTGGCAGCTTGTAAGGAAAGCTTCAGGTTAAGTAGACATTTCATAGGGCTTGATGGATGTTTTTTGAAAGGGCTTTGTGGAGGTCAAATCCTGTCAGCCATAGGCAGAGATCCCAATGATCAAATGCTACCAATAGCATATGCAGTAGTGGAGAGTGAAAACAAGGAAAGTTGGACATGGTTCTTGGAGCTGCTTATTGGTGATCTAGGTGGAAGATAATAGTGTCTCACATACACTTTTATTTCTGATCAACAAAAGGTATGACTCTATTGTTAATTCTCAATTGATTAGTATTTTTAATAATTAAATTCTCATGTTTATCCTGGTATTCTCATGTTTAATAATTAAATTCTATACATATCATGACCCAGGGATTATTGCCTGCAATGGAGGAACTGATGCCTACAGTTGAATAAAGATTCTGTGTTAGGCATCTCTACAACAACTTTAGGAAGAGATTTCCAGGAAAAAAACTCAAGGAAATTATATGGAAGGCATCCAAATCAACTTACTACCAAGCTTGGGAAAGAGAGATGAAAGTTATGAAACATATCAATGGAGAAGCATACAAGCACATGATGTCTACCCCTCCAAGGTTTTGGAGCAGATCATACTTCAAGACTCATAACAAATGCGATGCAGTTCTCAATAATATGTCAGAATCCTTTAATAGTGTTATTTTGGAGTCAAGGGCCAAGCCATTAATAACCATGGTGGAAGAAATTAGGATATACATGATGGAGAGATGGGCTACAAACAGGATGAGGTTTCAGAAATTGACAGATGTAGAAGTGTTGCCAAACATTATGAAAAAGGTTGAGAAAACAAGTTCATTCACAAACATGTGGCTTCCCAGGTAAAATTATTAAAACAAGCATTTTTTGTGTTAGAATGTCTGATTTTGGAATGTCCATTTGATGTCTTAATTTGGAATGTCCATTTTTCTGTGTTAGGATGTCTGATGAGCATATGTTTGAAGTGAGGCATCTGGAAAATTCTGCTGAAAAATTCACTGTAAACTTGAAGGAAAAAATTTGTTCATGCAGAAGATGGGAGCTAACAAGCCTACCATGTGTTCATTCACTTGCAGCAATCAAGAATAGGAACCATAGGATTGATGAATACATTCCTGATTATTACAGGAAATCTAGATATTTGCAAGTGTACAAACCTGTCATATTCCCTGTTAATGGCTCAAACCTATGGGTTACAACTGAGTACCCTGATGTTATGCCACCCAAATTCAGGAAAATGCCTGGAAGGCCAAAGAAAAGGAGGAATTTAGAGCAAGGTGAGCTAGATGGTACTGATAAAAAGATGAGAAGAACGGGATTCATTATAAAGTGTAGCAGGTGTAAGCAGGTAGGTCACAACAAGCTTACTTGTAAGGTGCCTTCTACTAGTCAGACAACTACTACACAAGTACCACATGCAGCTCAACCATCTGTACCATAAGCACCATCTGTACCACAAGTACCAGTGCCTTCTCAACCATCTCAAGCATCTGTAACAGTGGCATCTGTACCAGTGGCATCTCAAGCATCTAAGTCAGTTCCTGGTCAAGCTTCTCAGCCATCTCAATCTAAATCATCCAAAAAGTTGTCAGTTAGAAGGCCAAATGCACCATTTGTCCCACCAGGTCCAACAACGAGGTTAAAGGCATCAAGAACTGTTGTAGGTCCAACAACAAGAAGGACAACACCAACTAAAAGAGCAGCACCAAAGTGGAAACTTTAGTTTACTTTTATGTCTGTTTTGGATTAGGATTGGACCTATAGTTGTTATGTTGTTTTGTTAACTTGTAATATTAGAATTGGTTATGTTAAGTTGTTTTGATCATGTAATATCAAGCTGTTTTGTTTTTTTTTTACCTGTAATATCAGGCTGTTTTGATTGGACCTGTAATATCAGGTTCTTTTGTATGCAACTTAGTGGTATCCACCACCTTATAATTATATGTTGTTACCTATCTTCAATTGCTACAGTATGTTACATTGATCAAAATGCTACTAGTTACAGTATGTTACATTATGTTTTACATTGATACAAAAATGCTACTAGTTTTACAGTATGTTACATTGATCAAAATGCTACATTGATACAAAAATTGCTACAGTATGTTTTACAGTGTGTTACATTGATCAAAATGCTACTAGTTCAAAAATTCAAGTTGATACAAAAATTCAAATTCATAATGATACCATGTTTAAATTGAGACTGTGTTACATATGATACTCTATTACATATAATCTCAATTCAACAGTCTATTACAACATTATCCAAATTACCACAACTAACATAATAAAGAAGAATCTTTTCCATTTTTTTCTGAGAATTCATCATCTTCTTCATTTCAATTTGTAACTCCATTATCTTATGTTTCAGCCCATCCTTCCTTTCCTTTAGATGATGTATCTCCATCTTTGCTCCATCAAGCTCATTTTGCAGCTTCTCCAACCTATTATTCTGCTTCTTTATAAACTGATCCTTCTCATCCACCACATCATCAAAGAACCATTGAAAGTATCCACACCCAGATTCAGATGAACCCTGTAATGGTGACATCCAGATTCATCTCAGCTATTGCAGGAACTATCCGAACAAGAATATATGAAAACCCATTTTAATTTCATGCTTACCTTGTAATGACGACAACCCCAGAATTGCTTCCCAAAGTTTGTGACAGTGGTAGCCCTTCGAAGAACCGCAGATTCTCCACAACCACATATAGGTCTCCATCGCAACTTTCCATCTAAGCTTCCATCTCTATTGCAATCGTACGAAGACCGGATCTCTGATGATGCTTCCTTCATCATATTGAGGGAATTTCAAATTCAAAATGGGAAAATTGAGATGCAATGTGTGAACCCTAGAATTTGAGGATTTCTGGAAGCAGCTTGAAGATGGTGTACATAACATTCCATGTCACCTGCCACGCATGCAAACCAAACGTCCGTTTGTGCCTTTTGGACGGAAAGGACTCCTATGGTCCTTTTGAAAGAATTATAGGACCAATTTGACACTTTTTTTAGATAAAAGACCAAAATGGACCTCGGGGTAAACTTAAAGGACCAAAAAGGGTATTTTGCTTAAAAAAACGCAGGAGGTGTATCTTGTGTTGGACTAGCAAAATAGGAGATATAGGTAGTAGGGCCCTGAATTCAGATATTAAATTCAGATATAAACGTAAAATGTATATTGAATTGGAGGTGCAAATGAACAAAAGAGAAACCCAATAGATCAAAAACCCAAACTCATTCATTCTAAAGCTAATTTATTATAACAAATAAATAACTTAAAATTAAATTAAACAAAAAAAAGAGACAAAAGCTATACATCAGGACATGGGATGCCACTTCCTATTCCTCACGTTATTGTAGGTTAGTTTTTTCTTACCTTGTCTAAGTCTAGCCAGTTATACGAAAACACATGGCATTGCAATTGATTAAAAATAAAAATAAAAAAATAAAGAAATTAGGTGAATAGAAACAAGTTATATTCTAAACAATTTAAATGCATGGTGTATATGAAATGATGCAGAAACATGATTGGAAGTACCACATATTACCGCATCACATGTTATGGTACAATATTATTTTAGAATTAAAAACTAAACAAAACTCCTAGTCAGTAAAGATTAGACACATGGTATGGTTTTATTAAACAAATAAAAATAAAATAATATATATATAATAACATAAACAAAGAAAGAGAAAGACCACTAATTTATTTCCTCTTCATCTTCTACGAAACTCTCTCTGCCCCTTTCAATATTGCTCTCAAATTGCAAGGGTGGAACGATGGTGGCTGCACGAGAAGGAGGAGTATGTTGGCTTGAAAAACAATGGCAGCGACGATGTTGTGACGGGTTTGCACAAAGGCTTACTGATCTTGCGGTCGCCGTCGATTTGGAGGGGTTGATCCGGCGGTGTCAGAGTTGTTTGAAACTGAGAAAAGATTAGATCTCACAGTGGTGGTCGGTGCGTGCAGATTGTGCTTTCGATGGGAGAGCGGTGGTTCACATTCGCCGGAGGGAGAGGACTTGATTTCTTACTCTATTTTCCTGTCTCCTGTTTGTTTAATTGTGAAAAAAATTGTGTTGCCTTGTTATCTAAATCTTTTGCAGGTTGTGTTTAGTTTATTGTTTTGAAAAAAACTTACTTTAAAATTTGTGTTTGAATATGATATTACAGATTGAGTTTGTGATGGTGTTGTGTAAAAAAATGTATGAACTATTTTTTTAATGAAATTGTTTAGATTATTATAAGAGAATTTAGTCGAAACTGAAAGGAAAAATAAGATTGAAAAAGTGTGTGTGTTTAAAATTGGTCGAATTGTATTGTATGTATTAGAAACTGGATAAGTTTAGTATAATGAAAAGGTTTAAATTCATTGCTGCAAATGAGCATATGAAGCTATATGCAGATTTCGTTATGTTTACTACGATCTAGAGAGTAAATAGTATAAGGATGAACCTGTGTATTTATTACGATCTAGGGGATAAAAGACAATAGGGATAGGCTTATGTTATTCATCACAACCTAGGGGATGAATAGTATAACCCTAAAAATTCGCATACCTATCAAAACTTAGGGGAAAGATATTTGAAGAATTTGTGCGTTTACCACAACCTAGGGGATAAACAGGACAAAGATAAATTCATGTATTCATTACTACCTAGGGAATGAATAATATGAACCCGACAATTCGCACACCTACCACAACCTAGGATATAGATGATTGAAAAGTGTTTTGATGATCAAATCTTGGATAACTAGATTAAAGATGAGATTAGGGATTTTCGTATATTTACCATAACCTAGGTGGTAAATAATACGAGTTTGTGAAGTTGACTTTCTAATGCTTCGAGACTAATATAGTAAGTTTATAATGCAGGTTTTGTCTATTCATATCACCCTAGGGGATGAATAAAATAGAGTTTTGATAATGCATTGTCACATGGAGACTGAGGCAGTGAACTATGCCGATCTTGTTATGTTTACTACAACCTAGAGAGTAAACAGTATGAGAATGATCTTGCACGTTTATCACAACCTAGGGGATAAAATAAAATAGGGGTGAGCTTAGGTTATTCATCACAACCTAGGGGATGAATAGTATAACCCTGAAAAATTTGCATACCTATCACAACTTAGGGGATAAATATTTGAAGAATTTGTGCGTTTACCACGACCTAAGGGATAAACGACACAAAGATATATTCACGTATTCATTACAACCTAGGGAATAAATAATATGAACTTGACAATTCTCACACCTACCACAACCTAGGAGGTAGATGATTGAAAAGTGTTTTGGTGATCAAATCTTAGATAACTAGATCAAATATGAGATCGGAATTTTACTGGTTGTGTCTGTTCTCAATGAAGGTAGTTGCTTGCTTTGATAATCTGATAAAGGGCCCCAAGGTTTTGCTAATGATGTCGGTTGTGTCTGTTCTCAACCAAGACATGATAAACTTGAATAATTGAACCCTAAATTCACTGATGATGTCAGTTGTGTCTTTTCTCAACCAAGACTATCAACATGAAAAAATGAACCCCGAAATTTTACTAATGAAGCTGGTTGTGTCTATTCTCAACTGAGGCTTGATCAACATGATAACCAAATGAAATTGAATGTTTTGAGAGGTTTAAACTTGAAAAGTTTGAATTTGATAAATTGCACGTGTAATGCCAAGAGGTTGGTGATGACTAGGCTTTGGATATGAATCATATGTAAGATGCATAATGATATTTTGATAGCGATACCTCTAACGATTGTGTCTGTTCTCAACCGAGGTGGCTTACAGTGATAGTACGAAGAACGGATAATGTTGAACTTGGATCTTGGATGTTGAGTGCGTGTTTGATATGATTATGCTTGATGTATGCATGATAAATGATATGTATGCATGATACATATATGATTGAATGTAATTCATGTATGCATGTTTGATATGATTATGCTTGATGCATGAATGATGCATGATATGTATGCTTAATATGACAATATTATGAATTGAAATGATGCGATGATTGATAAATGCAATGTCCATTTTATTTGAGCCGTGGAATCAGTGCCTAAGGCAAGTGATGAGAAAATTAATAAGTGTACTAATTTTCCAATATAGTAATAATGGGAAATCCCATAGTATCGATCTCAAGGACTGCACAAAATTACCGAGTTTAATATGTGGTTCCATTAAACAAAAACTTAACTTGGGGTTTGGGTTTTAGAATTGTCACTTAACACATAGCAGAAATATAATGGGCTTTTTAACATATATGAGGCGCATGCTAGAATAAGTGTGTGATTAGACCTTGTATTAACCTTCATTCTTGATCTCTTCAACAAGTTCATTACTTTCAACTATCGAATCTGTAGTGTGTTTCCCCCTAATTCCTTAGTGGGAAAATCTTTGGTCTTTCATCCAAATACCTAAGTCCTTAGTGAGTTATGATGAAACCAAGCAGTTATGTTATCAAGATTTTACCGGTGACCTATAGGGTATCCCTAGTCCTAGGTGATATTTACTATAGTCTAATTGTTCAAAAACCTTAGGAATGGCAGTCCAACCCTAATTGTTAACCGTGGATCAATCCATATTTGTCCGATAGGAAAAGCATAAGAATATTGAACAATTAATTTGAAAAGTAACTATTGTATCAAAACCAGGAATTCAAAATCAATACATTGCAAATTAGGGACACCCCATAGCATTGGGGGGGGGGGGGGGGGGGGTTAGCCTTTCATAGTATTAAAAATAAAAGCAATAATTAAATTAGACATTACAAAAGGTGAGGATTCTTCGATCTTCAATTGCTTTCGCGCATGAAGGAATCTCTATCTCTAAATCTCTTGAAAACCCCAATCTTAATTGTTCCTAATCTTCTTCCATCAAAAAGTCCCAGTCTCCTTCTCACAAACATGTTTTAATAGTATTAGGTCATCCCTCATCAATGTAAAAATGTCCAAAGTATCCTTAATGATCCAAGACACTTAAAACTCTAAAAATCATAATTCCTAGTGCTTTGGCCGACACGGGCCGTGTCATGTGACACGGGCACCCGTGTCAGCCTCTGTTTCTCTCTTTTAATCACACACTCACCCAGACCTTCTAACACAGGTTGTGTCAGCTGACAGGGGCACCCTTGTCAGCCTCTTACTCCACTCTCAAAGTTGTGCATCCTCTCTTGACACGACCCATGTCAGGTGACACGGGTGGTCGTGTCAGGTACCTTGTAGCTTGGTTTCTGAGACTTCCTCCGACACTCTGAATTTGCACTTTTTGCACTGATTTTCCTGGCTTTATTCCTCTGAGCCTGAAATAAACTAAAACACAGAACCAAAGCATAATATGCGATAAAACGAAATAAAACACTTGAAAAATATAAAGAAACAATAACTAAATTCAACTGTAAATAAAGGTGGAAAAACCACTCATCAAACTCCCCAAAACTTAAACCGTTGCTTGATCTCAAGCGACCATTACAAGAACTCATGAAAATAAAAGTAGACCGGTACTCTTACATGAGCCATCGGTTCCAATTGGTCAAATAGAAATCCGTATGATGTTCACATGACACAAAGAGTTTATGTAAGAACCTTTTAATCTCGAGCTTCCTCTTCATACACCTCTCTAACTATGCTTTATACTTAAGTCTTTTTCTGACTTTTCCTCCTTTTTCATTCAGATAGTCAAATTAGGGAAATGACAGTTATTGATGATCATCACACGCACATGACTGATCAAGAAATTTTTTTGCTCAGGCACCAAATAAGAACTTTTGCTCCTTTCTAATTTCAGATGTAATTTTCAAAACTATTTAGTTTATATATTGTCCTTTATGGACGCATTTAGGGATCAACCCCCTTTAGGCTGAATAACTTGGTGAGGGCTACCCAACTTAGCGAGTCAGTTGCCTTTTACCTCCTTTTCATTAATTGGTGCCAGCTTTTATTTATTTTTCAACCAGTCATATATGCATGTGAATCTATATTATGCCAGATTGTCAAGATAAACTACTTAAGGAATACTTCTCAGGATTCAAGTACTATGGTACAAATCTAAATGTTAGTCTCATATCCCGGTCACGTTATTCCGAACTTCCGACCCTCAAATAACCATCCCTTTGTTTCTATATACTATTCTCGAACTCTATGAGAACCAAGTTCTTGATCAAAACAAAAAAGTTTGGCAAAATTTGGAGGACTTCAACTCGTGGATTTACACAACAATTCGCATAGAACTAACAAATAATTTGAAAAGAGGAAAAGTAATAAAGCCCCCCAAACTTGAACTAAACATTGACCCAAATGTTTCGGAACAAGCTTGAAAAGGTGACTCACAGAGGGTAATGCAACACATATTGTTGCCTCCTAGCTTTCACCAGTAAGACTCCCTTTTTATTACTTGTAAACAACACAAAAAGAAAAACTAATTTATTATAAGTGTGGGTTGCCTCCAACGAAGCGCTTCGTTTAACGTTGCATGGATTAACAGTTCATCCCCTTATGGGGGTACTTCCTCTTCCACACCTTGTTGCTTGTCTCTTCCGCAATCTAGAACTCATTTAGATCAAAAGTATCAACCCATTTGTGCTTCCAACCACTTCCAACTTCTATCTCTTCAGCTCGATGTTCCTTCTTCTTTCTCTTCTTTCCTTCTTGACTGAGCTTAGGAATTTTTATTGATACCACCTGAGAGATTTTTCCTGAGACTTCTTCTGGGGGTGATTTTAAATTGTTGCCTTCTCTATCTACTTTGATCATTCCGACTGAAGATTTACTCTTTCCACTTGCACCTTTCTTCTTGAGTTCCAACACCTTCAAGGTTATCTCCTCATCAAATGATTTCAATGTCAGATTACCTGTCTCGATATCAAAATTGCATCGACTCGTCAGCATAAATGGTCGAC